TGCCCAATTTGTTGCTGTGTGGGCTCCGGTTGTGGCAGTGAAGGTATGTCATTTCCTATTGGCTCTATAGAATCACCGACAATTTCGCCACCTCTCCTAGTTTTGGACACCATCTCTCCCCTCCTAAAGGATGGAAGTCACATAATTAAGTTAACACTAATCTCAAGACAAGAAAAATAATGGAGAAGCATTATGATTTAATAATGTATATTGCCAATAAACTAGGTTAATGTATAACAATTTCATAATTTATAAGAATTGGAACATGAAGCTCTGATACCAAAATTTGTAACACACCAAATTTTTTTTTTTAAATAATTTAACTCAACCATAGTTGGGTTACAGCCACCCAACACATTTTTATATCAATAATTTCAATATAAAATATTTTATAATTGGCTTCAACTCACACACTATAACATTTCAGATAAATTTTTACCTCCCACATGCCATTAGGCTAAATCACATTTGTCCATCCTTATACTCCCAACAAGTAAACTAAATCACATTTGTCCATCCTTATACTCCCAACAAGTAAAATAAGCAATTTAATCAATTTTCAACACAAGCCAGTTATTTGACCTTATAATCATGCCATTTTAACCAATCCAAAGTAAACCAAATATTAAAATTACAGTCATCCAAATTGTACCAAAAATAGAAATAGTTTGAAAGGCATGATTACATTTATATATTCATATAATTGACAATAAACAAAAAGCCCTAATATTGGCAATATAACACATTATAAATCATAAATTAAATACCCAAAAGAGACAGTGGATCTATACCACTAAGCCTCTGGGACTCCTCCACGTGTCACTCTTGGCTCTTCTCCTGAAAATTGTTAACCACATAATGAGACTCAAAAGTCCCAGTAACCAAAGCCAATTTATGATAGTGTATACAAACAGTTAAGTGTGTGCTTACTAAGTGAGAATTAAAAATAATATAATTCCAACAAATATAAGAAATATTATAATAAACACAAACAACCATCCTTATATCCCTCCATTAACCTCGAGCCGTAGCCCTCACTCGGTACTAAATTACCCGGCCAAAGGTAGATTAGCCCGAGCCCTTACAAACCACCTATTGAGCTCCAATAGGGGCGTACCACGTGGCACATAAATACAACAATAATAGCAAGTCTCCCAACACCTCCCACAATAAATAAACAAATTCATAATAATATTGCACAATTATACAATATTACAAAATTCATAATTTTCTCAATAATCACCCAATTAACATGAAGTAACACTAATCATAAATTAAAAGCATGGTTACCTTGTGGCTTTTTCAATAAATTATTCCTTAAAATTTCTCTCTCACCACAATCTTCACCAGTAATACAATCTACAAATAACATATTATTTATAAATATTAGTTTCAATTTTTGAAACTAATAAAATAATTCTAATAATAGAATTAAAAATATAACATAATTCTTAATCTCAATCTTAATACAAATCTATAGTTAATACTATTAAGTATAATTTTTAACTCCTCTTTTAATTATCAATAAACATTGATAATCTAAAAATCAAATTCTAAACTAATTTCTATTATCAAAATTTTCTTTTTATTTTATAAATTCGTACCTAAAATACCCAAAAATTAAAAATTAAGTCTCTAGCTTAGAATCATAATCCTATAACCATAATAATTCATTTCTCATCCCAAATAATCATCTAAACCTCAATAAATCAACATATATTTTCAGATCTAGTTTAGAATTTGATCCATAAGCCATAAATTCAAAGATCATTAACAAATTTATACTCTATAACATTTATTATACTACTGACAACCTCAAAAACCATATTTATTCAACATAAATTCATCCCTCTTTCAGATCTTAAATTTTCTACCACTACAAACTCAAAAACTAAAGAAGAAGGATGACTAAGAAAAATTTTTAGAACACTTACTTAGTCTTAAAAAGCTTAAAATCACACCCTAAATATCCTATTAAAAACTCTTACCTTAAAAATTTAGATATTTCGCACCGGTGACTCGCGTTCTCTCCGCCTCAGCTCGCACGCAGGAATGAATGAGGAAATGAAGGAACAGGTGAGTTTTTATAAAAATTCAGTGGGTCCCACATTTTTTTTAATTATTTTCTCTCTCTTCTTCTTCTTTTCTTTTTATTATTATTTTATTATTGTTACTGTTGAGGCGGCGGACGAAGCAAATTCGTTTTCTTCTTCTTCTTCCTTTCTTTTCCTTTCTTTCTTTTTATTATTATAATAATAATAATTTAATAATATTTTATTTTTTATTTATTATTATTATTTATTATTATTTTTTATTTTATTTTTATTTTATTTTTTTTATTTTTTTTTTGCATACCTTTTTTTATAATAATAATTTAATAATACTTTTCAAAATTTTTATTAACCCAAATTAACTATTAAAATTTAAATTGGGATGTTACATTTCATGTGGTGCTCAATGGATTTCTTTTGAATCAATGTTATCAAGTTTCCAATTAAAGAAAAAAAAATCTAAGTGCTCATTTGAATTTTAATTGGGTATAATATATTATAAAAATAATTAATTAAATAATAAATTTTAATCATAATTGATTATATTATAATGCAATCTGTTTGGATATTATTTTTTTAAAATTAATTTTAATATAATTAAAGATGTTTGAATAATTTATTCAGAATCAATTTTACAAAAGAAAATAAAAGAGAAAAGAAGAGAGATTGATTTTTTTAATAAAATTTTGTGTTTTTTTTATAATTTTTTTGAGCCCTTTTTTGTAATTCCTCCAATACTTTTTTATCAGCGTTCTTGAAAAAGTTCAAAATTTTGGCTTTCGAAAAAAATTAATTTTAATGGTTAAAATCAATTTTTTACCTTTTCAAATGTTTTGCTAATAAATCAAATAATCGATTTTTTGATAACAAAATCCATTAAAGACGTATGCAAACAGGCACTAATTAGTTATAAGGTAAGTGATTCTTAAACGTTCACAAATTCGCTAACACAATTTTTCTTTTTACAAGAAACATCGCTCTTATAATAGAATTGGTCCACTTTTTGCTGCAATTAAAAATCATATATTATAAACCAATTAAAAAGGTGATTTCTCATTTTTTTTAAAAAGAAATCGAATAAATATGATAACAAACGAAATCATCGCCAGTATGTAAGACGACAATTATAACTGCGCGATTAATAAGTTCCAGACCATTCAATTCATTTATCAAATTTCAAAATGGCACCTGAGTACTTTTTTTATTCTTTTATATAAGTGACTTCTAATTAACTAATTAAAATCAAGACGATTTAAAAATAAATTACTTTTTAATTTCGTCCCTGCTTTAAAAAAAGTGATTTGATGTGTGTGAGAAGTTTTTTAAAAAATTAAAATATTACATTTCTTTTTAAAATTTGTTGGAAGGCAGTTCTGAAGTTATACATCAGAGATTAAAAAAAAAGTGACTTATATAACGAATCAAGAAAACCTTCTAAAAAGCAATTTATAAAAAGAATCAAAGAAAATACACAATGCTCACTCCAATTTCTATTATATGACAGTTATAATTACCTCACTAAAAACAAAAAGAGACAGTAAAGTTATTAGTTTTATCTAAAAATATAATAAACTTTTTATTTTACCCATGTTTAAATATAAAAAATTTAAATTTACATTACATTATCTTTTACAACCAATAAATTTAAATAAAAATAATATAAAATACTAGCATTAGGGATCATCAATATCTTTTAAAACGTGCCTGATGAATACAAAATAACACTAAATCCCACGACTTCAACTTATTGGATTTCTTCACCAAATAAATCATTCACCAACAAGTAAATCAAATTGTTGTTGACATAAGGGGGATATTAAAGTTATCATTTAAATAAAAATTCATATTCACATAGATTAATGAATATATTAAATCTTAAACTATTATGCGAATAACATCTTAAATCATAAGCTCTTGAAATTTGCAAAAATTATTATCAACTTATAAACTTCAAACGCCTAAAATCTCATCGTTAAGTTAGAAAAAATGATCATTACTTTTATAGTTGTGAGACCTAATCACAAGCTGATATAACACTCATCTTAACCTTTAAAAATGTCATTCGTTTTCTCCAATTTAACAATAGGGTTTGAAGCTCTTGGCATTTAAAAATTAAAAAGAGTTTTTACATATTTTAAAAGTTTAAAATTTAAGATATTATTTATACAATAGTTTAAGCTTCGTGATACTGATTAACCATATTCATAATCCTCCCTAATTAATATATTGCCTTCAAACTCCGTGTTAGAAGCGAGTTCTTGAAATAGATAAATTGTTTTTATCTTAGCGGAATTCAAAAAAATAACGCCTAAAGATCTTAATGTCAAGATTTTTAATTTTTTAAAAATAAATTATTTAACAAATGGTTGCTAAATTTTCATAAATTCATTGTAAAAAGAATTAAATTAAAAATATTTTAAGCAACTTAATATTAAATGTTAGAAATTTATTAACAAAAAAAATTATTTTTCACTTTTAGAAATAGTTACGATGACAATTACAATGTAACATCTCTTAATCTAGACTTTTTTTTTATGCTATAATCTAAACATTTAATATGCCCCAAAGTATTTTAAACAAGATTTATATACCTAACTTCATATATTTAATATACTCTTATCCAATCAAACCAAAATAAATGAATTTTAACATATTAATAATAAGAGTTTGATAATCTACATATCTTAATTTAATTGAAAACAAATATCCTAGACACGTAAAATTAAGTACATAAATTTTCCCATTCATCATAAATATCTTTGACAAGTTCTTTAACTCTTGTCAAGGGTAAGAGAACTAAAGGACGATTTTCATATACAATAATTCAAGTGTGTACTTTGTACAAGGACATGAAAAATTGGAAATTGCTATTGGTCAAAACAAAGGCAGAGGCATGAAATTAAAGGATGAAATATACGAAAAATAACGTTCAGACATATCAAGAATATCTTAAATGAATAAATCCAATAAGCTGGTGGTAAGCAGGCAGGTCATTCTATTTCGATCAGCTATTCCCAGAAACTATGTGGAAATAAAAGAATAAAGAATGAACTCTATTTCGCATTTTCCTTTTCAGCTTACTTGTTTACAAGTCGAGATGATATGATGGTGGCGGCAGAACAGGGCAAGTAATATCCAATTTACTCTATAATCCAACGTAAATAACTTAAGTAATACAGATTTTGCAAAATCAATATATTTTATATGGCCAAGCAAAGCATTGGATTTTGAAAGAGCTGTAGTTACAGTAGCTGCCACAGTGGTCAATCGCCCTCTGATCACCTTTTCACTTTCTGTGTCGCAGCACCATACATATTCAATCTGTTCTTAATCGGTTTGACCCATTTTTATGGCCATTGTAGAGAGGCAAAAGCCACCTGGATCCATGTTTCCTCTTTCCATAACACCGCCAATAAAGAACTAGTAATGACAGAATTACGCCAAACGGGATAGCCCATCTGTTTCAAATTCACAATCAACAAAATCTTCCAATCACAAACGTCCATGAAAATGATCAACAATTATACTTATCTAAGATGCAAGAATTTAGGGTGTGTCAGATATACAGATACGTTTGTTCGGCTAGAAGAGCTAAAAGCAGAAAGTTCCAATTACCTGTCTAAATCCAAGATTGGGCTGTAAACAAGAGTTTCCCAAGTTGCGACTACAAAATGCCAAATTGGGTTATAGTAAAGTGACTCTGCTGACCAAAACATCCTTGTGTATGTCTCCAAAAATATGAAGAGTAGCCACGCTCCAATTTCAATCAAAATGAACTTTATAACAAAGCGGCCAATCACAACCATGACAAGAGAGAACGCCACCAGCCAATTGAAAAGCCTGTGGTTGTATTCCTTGATAAATAGAGCTCGAGACTTCTTTAACATCTGTGCATTCATTTGTTAAATCAAGAGGTGTTAAGCATTTGAACCAGTGGAAAATCGGCAAAAAATTATGACCTAAAATATTTATTCATTTCACAGTCATTTGAAAAAAAAAAAAAGCACATTTCAGTATGAATTATTCAACCAGTTAGCATATAAAAGGTCAATTCATGATGTAAACACTCACATTTCCATCACGATGAATAGAAACTAAAATATCATTCCTTTTCACCTTTCTAAAGCTCCAAGAATTTAAATGGAGTAGAGTTAACAAGTCAAATAGAAGTTATAGTGACAAACCTTCATCATGCGTTCCTCATAGTTTGTTTTTGACGGTCCAATGCACTCATGCTCAAAACTTTGGTTGCACTGCAGGAAGCCTGCATTAAATTTTGCCATGGTAGGAAGCCTGAGAACTTGAAGCTGATCCATTTTGTCCTCACATCTGGTGTACAATGCCTCACAGAGCTTCGAAGATCGATATTCATTTTGCATAACAACATTGTTGAACACCTGCATAATAACCAACGAAGATATAACCAAAAAATTGTTATACTCAATTTCCCAGTTAGTAGATTGAAGAGAACCAAAAAGCACCATTTCAATGCTGCTGCTTGATATAATGATCCTGATTGCAGTTCAAAGATATTTAATAGTTAAATATTTACCCAAATGAAAATCATAAATTAATTGCAAACACAAATGGATGCCATGAAGCTCTAGAGACCTCTAACACTCATGCCATTTTTCTCTTTAGCGACTGTACTCATTATAGCAAGGCTGAATCGGCTACAAGTTATTTGAAAAATGCAGAGTCATGGACAGCTTTATATATGATTGGTCGACAAATCCAACAAGGAATGAATGATAAATCAAATAAGAACTAGCCGGGGAAAAAAAATTATGGCAGGGAAAGTTATTTATCAAGTTGTTTTTGCTACGGTCAGCAGTGTTAAAAACAACATTGATAATTGATAATAACTATAAAAAATGTAAATGCTATCTTTTAATTTTATCACTTGTAACTTGCAAGTATCTTCTTCAATTTTTGAAATTACAACCCTCTTGAATTATTACCCTCCAGGATTTAAATTTTTCAAACCTTTTTACATGTTATGTAGGGCATTCTTATTGATTTGCCACTCAAGTTCCACAATTCAAACACATTCAATCCAAGGATAATGAGAAGACATTCTTTTCCGACAATCTTGATATAGATGTCACTCCCAATTCAAAGTATGGCATGGGCTCAAGAACCAAGGATTTGAGAAGGAAAGCTCATTAGGGCCAAAACCCAAAACAAAACTTGATAAAGGACATTTTCTGCTAGCTTTTTCTTTTAAGTCACTACCCAAATTCCCTTTCAGCAGATAATGTTTTGCAACGTCTCAATCCACAACAAACTGTGAACAGTACCTTCTGAATTTCTTCATCCAGTTGCTCGACTGATTTCTTCGCATGGTGACGTCCAAAATGTTGCTCATCAAACGCCTGCATTGCTTCCCCTCTAGACTTTTCATGAGCCTCCTGCAGCGATTCCTCTGGAAGTGGAAAATGCAATTTTGCCATCCTTTCGCTATATAGCTTTAGACACCTCTCAAGAATACCCTTGTTGAAAACCTCCACAAGGGAACCTGTTGAAGGAATCTCTCCTTTGTTCAAGGCTTCAAGTATCTAAAAATTGAAATATGAAAATAAAATCAAGGTTTAATGAAAATGTACAGAATGAAGCTGCAAGTTCTTATTCTAAAGAGCTCATTAATGGACTGATCATTTGATTAGTGGTAGTGGTCATTACTGGTTCCATTAATTGGTTAGTAGCTCATTAAAGATCCATTTGGCAGGCATTAAGAGCATATATTCTATAAGCATGATAAGATGAAAGGAAGATGGCATTGTTTTTCTGCCAGAGTGCAGCAAAGTTTCAGTTACATTTTTCTGCATCATTCTCTAAGAGTGTAGCGAAGTTATGTAATATTTATGAAACCCAGTCTAAAGGTTCATCTTGTTTAAAGCAGATGTACACGATTTTTACCCTCAATCCGACAATATTTCAAACAACAGACCAAGACACTCACCATGTAGAACTCAAGTTTTAAATAAAAAAAGCGCATTATAAAAGAGACTTTGTAACCTATCAGCGCAAATCATTAAGTTAGAGAACTGAGTTAAAGAAGAAATATTCAGAATATTTTTCCTCAAGTTAGGCAATGATTTCATGCTGTGTCAAAATAATAATTAGAAGAACAATGCCGTAGTTTTGGCTAAAAAAACAATCAAAGAAAGAAAGAAAGAAATGAAAAGAAAAGAAAGAAAAAACATTTCAGGAAAGAGTGTATGTGCACAATCACAAGCCACTATGCCCTGGACAGAATAATAAAACAATGACAGTACTTAGAAGTATCTTGTTCTACTTGATTAATTTGCAGTTCTGTGTTTACTGATTTTGACTGAGAGGAAAGGACTTGCAGAGACGTCCATGAAGGTGCTCGTGAAGACAATAGGTGTTTCATTCTTGTCACAACCCGCACAACTTACAGCTTAAGTCTATCTGAAACTAACTATATATTTGAAGTCCCATACCTGCTCCAGAAAAGAAACAAACTCCTTCCCATTCAGTGATTTTCGCTGTACAATCTTGGGACGAATGATGCTAGCAACAAGCTCTTTCAATTGCTCCCTTTTCTTAACATATGTTGGATCAAGTTCAACATCCTTCATGTCACAAAGTTTTGTTCGCCGGAGATGTGGCTGTTTTAACATCCAACATATAAATAAATACACAGGGAGGTGGAGCTATATGAAAAGAAAGCATAGATAGCTATTATTTGAAATAACACTTGAATTCATGAATCAGGAAATTACTTTCAACAATACGATCACAGTCTTAATAATAATAATAATAATAATTAAAAGGCCATGGTCTTTCTCAACAAAGATATATATTTGATAAGGACTGCTTATTAACAACAATTTCAAAGGCATGTCAAAATTAAGTAGCAGGAGAGAGGTGGCACAAAGGAAAAGGAAAATGTGTTCTTCATTATCCAATAGACAAAAAAGTGTGAGAAAACAGAAAGACTGATTAATGGAAGTTGAATGAATCAATTACAAGACCCAAAAATCAAAGTTATTACCCTAAAAGCCAGGCTAAGGAACTTAAATTTGATTTTTGGCATGTCTTGCGCTGTGGCAAAACTAGCCCAGACACCACAGTAAAAGTCGTGGAGATGAATTTGCCCAGGATATAGAAGAAAACAATTGCAAAAGCCAACGCCAGATAGCTTATAAGAACTTCTGTTCAATATGTTCGACATATGTAGGAGTCCAGACCGTGTTGGCTTAGAGGGGGAAATGTGCATTCTGATGGAGAAGCCAACAAGTAAGACCCCTTTTCATTTTGTTTCAAATACAAAACTCTATTGTTAACCTCCATATATTAGACTACAAGAACTTGAAATTTGGGTTGAACTGAGTAAATTGTGAGAGAGGCTAGTGGAAGAAGGGGGCTAACACATACTTGTGGTAAGCTAAAGGCAGTACTGTTGTCTCCCATGATAGCCAACGATTCCCGGATCTGGTTAACCTGACAAAGTTAAACTATATTGTTACTTTAAGACTAGAAAGACTAAATTGATATTGGAAATTAAGTTTCATAAGTGGCAATACCATATCAATATTTTTGTCCCCTGCAATTTAATAATAAAAGGGCCTATCATTAGACCTTTTAAAAAAAAATGGAAAATCAGATCATAAACATGATTGAGTTTGGTTCTAGCTGTGCACTAACCGTCAGCATTGGGGACTCGTCGAAGAGCTTCATTCACCAATTCTTGCACTGATTTCCCTTCTGTAGATAATTTAGCAAATAACAGTATCAAATCAAGTGCTTATGATGAGCGGTTGTAGCTGCCAGAGATGCAGTACCTCAACAATCAATATACCTACCTCCCATGTTTTTCATCAGTGATCAATATGATTTTACAAGGATTTTCACATAGAAGTTTCAAAGAAAGAAAAAAACATGAAATAAAAACAATGACAGACAGCTTGCCATTGTATGATCAGAAGAGAGAACTTGTTAGCTTACGTAGAAAATCACGTTGAATGAGCCACAACAGCCTGGCAGGTTCAAATGCAACATCTTGGCCCTATGAAATTTCCAGTCAATCAAACATTAAATTAAGAAAAAAAATCATTAAAAATTTTATTGAAGGAAGAATAAATCAAATTAAAAGCGTTGAGATCTTGATATACCTTCACTCTGTTCAACCCACAAAAATTGCACATTAGAACATGCAAAGGTTGCAAATCAAACAAACAAGTTAATAACCACAAACAAAAAATGGAGAGAAAAAAAACGGGAATGAGGTTTTTTAGAATGCAAATAATACAAAGAGATGAGGAAAACTAAAAAAAATAAAAAAATACATGATAACAACAAACTCAAGGTTCACAAGTGCAAACCTCCCATAAAATTCTTCAGCAAGCTCAACCGCAAAAGACAATCGAGAGATGTCAGCTTCACGTATCTGAAAAATCATTTAAAATGAGATATCTGCTCATTATCAGCTTGAAGATTTTATAGCCTCCACCAAGAAATTGAAAGTAAAGGATGTGAACTAGGAAATTTGCCCATGCACTTAAACATCTCAAAAGAGAAAAAAGATTTGTGCTCACTAGTTCAAAGCCAAAAGGTATTCCAACATCTGTGATCCGTCTGAGTTTTTTTTTAGCAATTTTTAGATACAATATAGGAGAGGTTATTCCTCTCTCCATAACAGACCACTGTAATTTGTCTGACTGAGGTGCCCGTACATCGTTGAAAAATCCACTTAGACTCCAAGACCCCAACAATCATGAATTTTTGCTCACCAAATAATTAGTTACCATATTAGGACCAGAGATAAAATAACTCTATTCTCTTACAGGAAAGTATATTTCAATTGATTTTTAGCCCAGAAGACCCCCAAATCCCTTCTCACCCTCTACACTTTCCAATATATAAATGCTGTCAGCCCATGCAGAAAATCTAATGTCTCCCTTCTTTATATCATAACTAAAACTAAATGGACTATAAAGAACATGACCATTCCATTGTACAACTTGTAATGCTAGAAGTTAGTCAAAAACACAGCCACATTAGAGCTGATAAATTATCATGCATGCCAATGACATATTAAATTCTATGGAAAAGTCTAAAGAAGAAAAATAAACACGGAATTAAGGCCCTTTGAGCCTGAGAAAGAAATAGGCTAACTTTTTTGTTGAAAGGGCAGGAAAGGATAACTCAGCTGACAGAATTAGAAACAGCATTGATTAAACTTCTCCGAACAAAATTAAACAAGTAACTGGTTCCCTGACTATTAAAAATAAATTGAACCGCCTAACTCCTTCTGAAACAATAAGATGTGGCTTGAAATTCCAGTTTGATTAAGATTGTCTGATAATGCTATTGGCCACCAGTCCTACATCAGGTAATACCATAAATGAGGCACTTAGAGGCTTAGAGCACAAGAAGTTTATGCTCTACAAGCTTTTTCTATCTTGTTAATTCTCAGAGTACAAAAAGTTGTCCATGTGGCCATCCAACACGATAAACAAAGAGCAATGAACATGTATTTTCAATGGAAGAGAGGCTGACAAGTGTAACTTACAGTCTCAGGCAGATTATAGATAAGCACAGAACTCATGACATTTGCTAGAGCAAATATCCTGCAAGAGAAAAGATCAACTTCAAAATAGTGATGACTACTAACCCATACAAAAGACCAAATGGTCTGTCTGTAAATACCGATCATCATATACGTTTGACTTCCCAATGCTTTCAAATCCTTCTGTATCAAGGTAAAATACAGAAGTTCTGACTCCATCAATATCCAAGTCTATAGGGGTTCCCCAAACCCAAATTCCTGCATAATTGAAGCCAAAATAGGAAAAAGATCTTAATATATAAATCTATTGGGGCATAATTGTGAGCAAAAGGTCAATTGCCATCCACCTTTTGTCTTGGTGTCACGCATGTGTCCAACACCAAATCCTATCAAAACAAACAAGCCACTTAAATCAAAATAATGAAAGCTAACAAATCTTCGTAAAAAAGAAGCTATCATTGAAGGTAATGAAAAGCAGCTGTAAAAGATGCACCTTCATAACAAGAAAGAGAGAGAAGTTGATTGAGCAGAAAAGATTTTCCAGAGCGATATGGCCCAATCACCTGATGTGCAAAGAGCAATCAAGAAATAAGCATGAAAATAGAATAGGGAAACACACACAAACACATACTGATGCTCGACTTCAAATAGTAACAACTGTGATGGACCAACACAGAAACACTTATTCCAAACTCTTATAAATACACAGACATTCTTGTAAAAGAGAAAAGGTGAAACCCAATGTTAAGGAAGCGTCCAGAAGTGATAAGATTGATGAAAGATGAGGGGCATTGACTTTGGTGGTTTTTTGAACTTAGCTTCCTAATTTTCTAACTCTTGACTCTGTCTCTACTTTGAGGAAAGAAAATGATGCTCTGCATTTCATAAGTAATGAAACCTAACATAAATTCAGCTATATTTTATTGGTAACATTTACAGATGACTGTGTTCATATAATCATGTGCATATTTTGTCACAAGTCACAACTTGTAACAATCAATGGGCTAGCCTCCTTTACTCTAATTTCATCCTTTGTTTCAATCAATTCACTAAACCAAATCTCAAAAGTTTTAACAAATAAGTCAAGCGATCAAGTGGCAGTCAGAAACAAATGTGGGCATATAAAATTTGTTAAATGTAGGGTATGTTGAAACGTGATCCTAACTAATCCCTCAATTGCATGCAATGGATGCATTAAAGTTGCAATCAAACTTACAGCTACAGCTGCAATTGGGTTCGTTATTCTCTCAATCGCTTCCAAACCTTCTCTTGAAAGACGAAGTTTTGTATGACCAGGATCAGGTTCCACGATCGGAAATCTGGACATCGATATGGGGGAAAACATAAATAAGGGAAGCTTAAAGCAGACCATGAAACGAGAAAAAGAAGCCAGTTACCGTCAATCTAACAGAAACATACCCCCCCCAACGCGCGCACACACACACACACACACAAGTTCATTCAGGCATCATTCTTTCTTTCTTTGTTTTTTTTTTGGGGTGGGGGGTTGATGCTAGAGTGTATTTGGTAGCAAGAAACTCAGGAGTAAGATGCAAGCCAATAATGTGACATTTACAGGACAAAATAGCTATGAATTAAAAAGAGCTTGATCAGTGTAGTTGATTAAACGGATGCTCAATTATTATCAAACAATCCACCATAAGGGGTCTTGAAAATGGGGTATTCAAGTTGATGCAGCACTCAACCATCAGAATAATGTCCTCGGGAAACAGAGGTTACACTCACCTACAATTTTATGAATCACAAATAACCTCCAGAATTTGGCGACCATCATTGATACCATCAAGTCAAAACTAGGCCCAGATGGATTGTGCTAACAGTGCCACTTTCGAAGCATAAAAGCATTAAAGCAAAACAAAAGAAATATTCAAACTATTGACCAACTTCCAGGCTTCCAGCTCACGTTAGCATCCACGAAACTGCAATAACGCTTCTGGAGTAGGCATGATTTTCCTTTTTCCAAAGTTAAGACTAGCTTCGCCGAGAGTTTTGTCGTGACATGGCTTGAAACATTATCATCGTCATTTCTTCAATGTTATTCACGTAAATTCAATATTTCACCTCTTAGAAAGCAAGGCCAAAACGTTTCAGACCTTTTTATTGTTTGTATCTCATAGAATAACGGTTCACTTCCCATCACCCAATAAGGGAAACGAAAACGACAAACCAGAATCTAACATTTTAAAATTTTTAACTTTTTCAGGTACGAGAGCCAATATCAAATCTTGCAAACTTTAACAGCCACTGGCGACCAGATCCGGGATTATGTAAACTTAATAAAAGAAAACAGAAGTCAATCACTTACGCTTGGTGAAAATTCTCAATTGACAAGGACCAGGGAGCGAAGAGGCAGAGAAGCAGCAAAACAACCAGGAACCTAGCGGGAGTGTCCATAACCAGGAATGCTAAGACCCCCCCTATCTGCCAGACGCAGAAGAACTAAGAAGGCGAAGGGAATGGAGGTGCAGAGAAGAAGCAATCATAGGGGGATTACTGTAGCGAACGTTGAAAGTAACCGAAAGAACAATGGGATCTGAAGTAAATCCTCGAGATGGGTGTACGTTAAGAATCATGCCCCCACATGGAATGAAAGAGAGGGAGAAACTGAAATGCGTGGGAATTGAGTCCGGCTTGAGACGGATAGATTTTCTGACTCTTTCAGGTGCTGAATATTTGTTCGGAAAGCCTAATGGTCCGAAAGGTCTTAGCACGACCTGTTTTCGTGGGTCGCTTGTGAGATTGAACAGAAGGCCAACAGGGGAATGGATCTCAATTCCGGATTGCGGGAAACGTAATTAAAAACGGGCCTGTACAGTTTCCATTTGATGATGATGATCATTCCAAATAATTAAAACAACGTATTTTTTCTTTTATAAATTTTTGGAGAACTATAATTTTTTTAATGCTTCAATTATGCTAAAATTTTTCCTCCAATCCTATTTATAAAATGACTTTTAAAAGTAATTTTTAGTTTAAAATATAAAATATATTGTAATGATTAAACCATTTTTTCCATTTCACCCCTTTTTGATTTATGTAAAAATATTTAATATAATTGTATTATTATTTAAAGTAAAGGGTAAAAATAAAAGTATATGTCACTTTTTTATGATACTAAAAAAAATTAACTTTTTTAATATACATGAAATGGTTAAAGGTGCCTTATAATAAAGATTGGAGGAATTATATAAAAACAATGAGACAATCAAAGATATTAAACAAATTCTTTTTTTATGACTGGTATATTATCTTATTGAAAGCAATCATATTCGAGATATTATCAAATATTAAATATGGGCATATTTCATGGTGAAAAATTAAAAATTAATTCATCACATTATAAAGGACCGACTCTTTCACTAAATTCAATGCTATTGATAATATAGAACAAATTCTAATGAAACAAGTGGAGAGAAAAAATGAAATATGTGTAAAAGGATTTGTACACTTCCGATAAACATTATATTTATATTAATTACAAACAATGAAAAATAAAAATATTATTTTCTGGTAAAAAAATGAAAATGTTATTTGAGAAAACGTATATCTATGTGAAGATTTTAAGCGACGTGTTTTTTGTGCAAGTTTAATTACCATATTTATATATTTGATTATAGTTTACCATAAGTATTTGATTATTAGTTTTAGGGAGAGTTTAAATTTAATATAGGACCATGGAATAGAGTTATTTATCAATGAAATCGAAAAATTTTTTGAAGATACTCTGCAAGAATTCTGGTCTAAAATGAAATAAAATTGTTACCTGAAATGATTGAAATGCCCTAATACAAAAAGAAATAAAAAGGGCAATTGTATTGATTGTTAATTGCATAACTTTATTTGTTAATTCATCGACCAAACATATTAATTGCTTAAATTTACTTGTTAAATCTCAATTCCTTCAATTAAATTACATCGCTTATTAATCGAGTAACTTCACTTGATAATTCCACAACAAGGCTCGTTAACTGCTTAACTTTACTTGTTAATCCATGATTTCCTAAATTTAATTATATTACTTGTTAATTTCTCAACTTGACTTGTTGGTACTGTGACAAGGTTTGTTCAATCCATTGATTCAGAAGGCAACTAAAATTACTTGTTAACTATGCATTGCCGCTTGTCAAATGACACTACTTGATATCCTATTTGTTTAACATCAAAGCAGTGATAAGTCCGTTACTTGTGAAATTGTCCTCTTGAATTGTAAACTACATAATATTAGTTGTTAACCAAATAACATTACTTAATTATGTCTGATATTACTTGTAAATTTACATTTCATCTCTAATCCCAAAGGAGCAATCATCAAATAAATTCCATCTCCAATTACATTTTGGCACAAGGAAATTTCGCTGTCAATTTAAATTCAATTTTTAATTACCAAGGGGACAACGTCCACACTCAAAAAATGCATACTTCAACCTTGCCATTGCCTTTTTTATTTCCTCTTTTGGCTTGACTCAGTATATGAAATTAGTGAAAGGGTTGTTGTAGATTTTGAATTAGATGGATGGTCATTTAGTTACTATAACAAGTCAATCCTAAAGGCAAATAGTTCATCTTATATGATAATCATTCACAAGACTAATATATATGCTACTTCCAATAACATTGGTTGTATAATACTAAAATAAACCCTTGAATTATATCCCTACAAAAATTTACACTCAAGTTATTTATTCAATATAACTTGTTAATTTCTTATATTGGACTTGTTAACTTCATAGTTCTACTTGTTATTATGCTTGAAACAATTTACAAACTAGCAAATTCATATTTCATTCAACATCACTTGTTAATTTTCTACATCAAAATTGTTAATTTTCTAGTTTTACTTGTTACTCCCTTTTCCCTAAATTATAATGTACTTTTGAGAGAGATTTGACATTAAAAAATATAAGATACTTTAACAAAAATAAAGTCTCATTGATGATTTTTTTTTATATCATCCTTCTCATGTATTTTCTTTTTTCAATATTATTTAACAAACAAAGTATTAAGCGGAGGGCATTTTTGGAGGTTTATATTTTTATTTTGAAATGATAAGGTTGTAAAATATATTTAATTAGCTTTGATTATGTGTGTAATTTTCTCTAAAAATGTTTTATAGTTTAAAATGAAAGTAATATCATGTTTCATACAATTTACAAGCCAACAAACATGTATTTTATTTAATATCACTTGTTAATCTCCTACGCTAGTGTTATTAATTTTATAGATTTACTTGTTATTATACTCCTTACAATTTAGCAACAACCTGACATATGTGTTGTCGAATTATATTGTCAATAACTAATAAATTCTGAAACAATACTTGTTATTCAAAAGCCATAACTTTCTTTTTCCTTGAAAATCAGGTTAGAATCTCAAATGTCGTGTCATGCTACACCAAAGTTGTCACAACTTACGTTGTAGCAAAATTGGAGGTCCAAAACCTTAGATAAGTTTATTAAAGCAAAGCTACAAAGGGCCAGTCATAGCACCTGTTCCCCGAAGGTCAAATCCCTGGGGGTTCAGTTTTGTATTATAAACCAAATAGAAATGCCAAAGTGAATGGTGAAAAAAATCAAATCTTAAGAGCAGATATTCTCAGAGATAAATCGCTACTGACAGGAATAATTATAAGTACCTGTAAACGATATCACAGCCCACGCATTCGTCTATCAATCAAGTTTTGCTAAATAGATGAGAAAAGAATCTCTCCATTAGTACATCAAAAACCCCACATAGCTTGAAAAAAATTTAAGCTTTAACATCTGGGCAGCAGAAAGGCAAGCCACAATTCAGCTTCCGATTCGTGAAGTATTATATTCACATCATCAAGATAAGTTGTGCTTACCTGGGTCACAGCCGAATGAATCATGGTAGAAAAATGTTTTCCCCCCTCCAGTTTAAATTAAGGACAATTCAGTTATTTGTTATATAAAATTATTTTCATTTTAGTAGTGCCAAATGTCTATAGTGTATTATCAGATTTTTTTGGTCATGAATTTTAATTAAATATCTAATGAGGTCCTATATTGAAATTCTCCCTTTATAATTTTTAAATTGAAAATAAAAGTTATGAAATAAATATCGAATTAATGACCTCTCCAAATATATTTAATTAATGGTAATGATAATACTTTTGGAGTTTCCAAAAAGAAAAGGGTCAAGTATTAAAGTAAAAACCATATTATATCAGTAACCAGCTATTTCTCGTATTAATTATTAAACTCAACAGTTCAATAATAACAATTGCACTCTAAAAAGTGGCCCAAATTTCTTTTATTAATATTTAAAACCCTCTGACGGCATGATCACCAGGCCAATGTTCTGCAACTTGACTTGTTGACATCTACTCAGCTTACGAGATCGGACACCAATATAGCAATTCAAGTCATCAATGCCACCAACAAGCAAAAACAAAACACGATCAATATTTAAACAACATAGCTCTATTTACTTAGCCGATTCAATATTAGATGCACGTGTTTTTAGTACCTCATGATCATAAACTAGAAGTAGCACCAGCAATAATTATAATAATTTGATATGCTTTTTGAAATACTAAGATTAGATTCATAAGAAATAAAATAGGGTTAAAGGGTCAAAAATGTTTACACAAAAAGTCACAAATGATATTAAATTTAATTATGAATCATTTACATTCCTTGACTGCTAAAATTTTTAAATCCATCACCCTATTGTTGTCCGATTAATTTTTCTATTTTGTGGGATCTACATTTAGATTTTTAATATTTTTATGACAAAATACTGCAAAGTGAGTCCTACCAATAATTTTTTATTTTTTTAATTTAAAAAATCTTCTCTCTCTTCTCCACCTTCTCTCCCCCTCCTCTCTCTCCCCCCATCATCCACTAATACCAGCCGATGAAGATCTCACCTTGCTCGTTACCTTCTCTCTTCTAAATTTACAACCTATTCCACCATGACTTAAGCTTGAACACTGCATAGAAACCATGGGATAGGAAACCACCACGAGTTAGCCAGCTCTTCGGCACCATCTAGCCTTCACACAACAACTCCTTCTCTTTCACCTCCACTTCGCCAACCACATGAGACAGGAAGCCACCTTCTGTTATAGCATGCATAGCCAATACATGCATGCATAAAGGTGGATAAAGGAATAGCTACTAGACATGGGTTTGATGAGAGAGAAAGTAAGGAGTAGAGAAGGCTAGCAAGAGAGGAGACAAGTCCTTGAATCCACTTGGCCCTTAGGTCTAGCATCTTCCCACAAAAATGGAGGCAGCAATCTAAACCACAAAGCTAGATAGAGATAGTGGATTCTGGGGTATTTGCCATTGGAGCTGGCTCTGGCACGAACTTTGAGAAGCTTAGGGGCCCATTTGGAGTCGTGGGAAAGGTTGCCGGAGTTAGAGGAATGGTAGATGGAAGTGTGTGGAACATAACAAGCTAGCTGACGATGATTCAGAACCTAGATTGTGAGCAGGTGGCAACACGTGTGGGGTGGAGGAGAGCATGATATTGTTCATGAGATTTGTGCAGGAGAAAAAAAGTGGAAAAAGTGCCTTACTTCAGCTTCTCCAAGAGCATGAAGAAGATACATGAAGAGGAAGGGATGCTGAGGGATATCAAAAGGGAAAGTACGAGAAGAAGAAAGAGAGAGGAAGCGAGATCGGGAAAGTACGGAGAAGAGAGAGGAGAGAGGTAACATAATAAATAAATATGGAGTGAGTTCTACTAACAAATAACTAACCTAA